TATACATATATAAATTATTAAAAGTAAAAGTATATAACGATATGTATTTGTAGTAAGTGTAATTTGTATATGTAATCGTTATATAAATAGTGGAAAGTATGACTATATATATATATATATATATATATACAGAATATATATATATATTCTGTAAGATGTAACCCAACCCATTCGTCCAGCAATAAGAAGTTTTCTAATCGTATAATAAAAACTTCCGAAATTTGAAATCTTTAGGTAAATTCCAGATCAGATCAATCAAAAAGTAATAATTTTGAATTACCGGATTTTCAGAAAATTTTCGTGTACCTTCTTTTTGATTTAAATTATGTCATTTTGAGTGCAGGTTTCGAAGAAATGCTGCTGCTGTGGGCTAGCCATTGAATTTAGTAGATGTAGCAATTTTCATCACGATAGTTTGATCCGTGGAAACATTGATGAGTCTTGCTTTGATTTTCGAGATCATTATTTTGTCTTCAATTTTTCTCACCTCTTGCTTTTAACTCCAGATTGGGGGAATTCCAACGCTCATTTCAGTTTTCATTTCAGCACTCAATTGATCAATTATCACGATGACCTAGAAATCCGTCATGTTAGGTCAGTGACCTGATGGCATCTAAAATGGCACATTATCTCCCCATTCCCTCTGTTATAACGGCAGTCCTGAGTTCGGCTGCTCGGATGAAGGAGGAATATGTGGCCGTATGTTTGACAGTCTTAAACGGGCTAAATGGTACACATGAAAAGGGTTAGGATCAGTTACGGTTAACTTATATCTTCTATCTTGAAAAGGAGGCACCAAATTTTCAAATTTTCATTAGACACGGAATGATCTGCGTACAGCGTAAGGAACACGAAATGATCTATATGTACATGTGGATCTAATGAATCTTCTGAATAAGAATAGAAGTTAACGGTGATTTAAACATCCTTAATTTACAGATTGGATGGCATCCGAAGTATTTACCAGTGTATGTCACATATTATGACATGTTATGATGTATGGATGCGGTGAAATATGATTTCCTTTTAAAATTTACTCTTTGAAAATTCTATGTATGTAAATGTGTACGTATAGAAAGGCATATTTCATTGAACAGTTCATCTGTTCAGGAACGCTTCGATATCAGGCTTTTAGATGTTAATCTAACGTAGTTGACATATTTTTTGCATAGGCCAACGACCATTAGATGATATATCTTTCGATCCTTCGACACAGTAACAGTTTTTCCGCTCAAAACATGCTATCGTTTTTGATTCATATCAATTATTCGATTTCAAATATATTTCATACAAATTAGTGTCGCGATATAAGTGTGCCAAAGTTTGATTTCATTTAAAGTAAAAACAGTAATAAAATTCCTTATAAATTATTTCAAGAAATTAGAAAATACTGGGACCGATACCACCCGGAGACAGAAGAGCTTCATTTCAATCATCGTCTAACATTTTATTTTGTTTCATAGGTGGTTGTAGTGCCGAGTGTTTTTGCGTGAGTGATAATGATATGATAGTAATAAGTAATATCTCTTTCAGGAACTATTATGGATGATTGGAGTTTGTTAAGTGAGGTTTGTTTATTTTTCATCCTATCTTTAATGAAGTATTTTAGATTTTCAAGTATTTCAAATTAAATCATAGTTCTTCGCTTCTTACTTTCTACAACTTCAAAAGCAATTATTAATAGAATTATCACATCATCGGCACAACATATATTGTAATGATAATGTGTCTGTGTTTGTTTTTCATTGATATTGCTGCATGTCTTGTAGTAATGGTACAATATACAGAACACGAATAGAGGTTTTATCATGACTAGTCAAGGAACTTGAATTTACCTGTTGAATAGATAGTTGTAGTTAAAACAGACGAATATAAGTTCGTTAGCTAGTACACATTGTGTGTCTTAAATGTAGATCGTCTTACATTTAGCTACATAAGGAACTCCCTGTGCTTTTGTTTCTTTTTCTTTTCTTGATTTGTTTCATTCAAATTACATGAATGCTAGAAAATTGAAATTGTTTTCCGATTTTCAGGTGAATGTATTGGCGAAGTTGCCGGAACAATTCAACGAATGGTTGGAGTCAAAAAAATGGACAGAAAGACGTGATGCTTTGCAAGCATTGATAAATGAGATGGCTAAAACTCCTCGGCTTGACTCGAAAGTTGACTACTTTAACATAACACAAAGCTTGCGAAATGTAAATTTTTTTCATTTACAATAATGTTGTACATAAGGACATATAGGACGTGTTTTTTTAATAGTTAAAAAAAGAGAAGTTGAAGGTAAAGAAGTTCCAGCTAATATTAAAAGTTTTGTTCAAAACTCTAATTGAATTTCTACTGAAAATAATTCTATCGTTTCGACTGTGTCAGTAAACAAAAAAGTTATTTTAGCTATTAATGAAATTTATTTAAAAATGATATAAAGTTACTTTTACCTATAAATGAACTTATGCCATTAATATCAGGTTCTTGCAAAAGATGCTAATATTAATGTGTGTGCTCTCGCAGCGAAATGCATCACAGGTCTTGCAAATGGTCTTCGAACGAAGTTTGCACAGTTTGCTACATTGGTATCATTTCGTTTATTAATCAACCTTTTTATCCATTTATTTATATGGAATTTATAAATTAAATGAGTCCTAATCAAGCTAATTAAGCGGGACAAATTGATATATTTTTTTCTTGACTATTCAATTAAAAAAACAATAGACAATAACTGTAGTAATATGGTAATGTATGCTGGTCTCGTAATAGCGATGTCGATAATAGAAATGATCGTAATGGTGGTAATACGGTGATATTATATATATATCATAGCTATGATAATGATTACTGTTTGTGGTGAGGTATTAAATATAATTTTGATAGTAATGATATCGTCTACTATGATTCAATAGTGATGATTACATGGGTAACAGAGTACAATAAGCCAATTTGTGGCATTTTTCAGTATATCCCAGTCATTTTCGAACGTTTTAAAGAAAAGAAGCCAACCTTACGTGATCCTCTGATTGAATGTATTGATACGATAGCACTCACAGTAAGTTCGGACTTTCGATCACAATTTGAGTACCATTATTCCTGTCTGCTTTTATATCTTCGTGATTTTCTCATTATGTAGGTCAATTTGGATATGTTGGTAGATGACCTGTCCAGTTGCTTCGATAAGCCAAATCCACAAATCAAACTGCAAGCATGCAATTTTATTTATCGAGTGATGAAGAACCATAGTCAAACATCAGCACCCAAAAAAACCATTAAAGTTGTGACACCAATTTTGGTTAAGGTAGAATTTATACTATTTTAGTTTTCATGAATAATTTATAAAAAATACTTTAAAATATAAAATACTGTAACTGGAATTGATTTCCAGTTTACCACTGATCCAGATTCAGAAGTACGAGAAGCAGCATGTATTGGTCTTGGATCGATTATGCGTCTAACTGGTGATAAAGTAATGAACACATTCCTGGGAAATTTGCAAGAGGACAAAATCAAAATGAAAAAGGTTTCATACTTTCTCGGTTTTTGTGGTCCTTAGATGGTTTACATGGTTTACAATGTAAGACCATTTTCAGTTATGATAAATTGTTTGAATTTTTTTATTCCAATCTTTAGATTTTTGTCCGTCAATATCCATGTTTATCATGGAACATTCTCAACCAATAAACTGATTCATAGCTATTCCAAAACTGATCAGTAATAGTTATTCAGTTCGTAATGAGGAATAGTAAGGGCGCCACGGTTTTAGTGTCTGCAGTCTCAAAGGTTAATTATTAACCTTTTGAATATTGTTATTATTAATTCTGTAGTACGGATAAAAGTGTGGCGGGGATTTCAAATTTGTGGCAAAAAATGAATTTTATTTTTGCTACAGAACCTTCATCTTATTCTTTTCCACAATTTTATTTTAGCTTTCTTTCTGGATCTTTTTTCATTTCCAGCTGTGGACGATAATCCGGTTTTTGTAAAATTTTTTTGAAAAGAGAGAAAGAGAAAGGAGGGGACATGTGAAGGGGAGGAAAAAGATCCTATTAATGCATATACTTGTCACGCCTTTCGCTTGATTTCATTCTTTTTAAGATATGTGATAGTAGAGATCAAGCTACCATCGAATACAATGAAGAAGCAAAGCGAAAACAAGAATCGCTACACTGTGGAAGTGCTTCAGTTCCAAGTGCAGAGGCTACTGCTGGTGGCTCTATAGTTGCAGGTACTAAAAATCACTGATTTTAAAGCTTACATTATATTGTAATATACATATATATATATATATATATATTTGTTATTTCAATAGGCACCGAATTAGCTATGCACGAAACCGATCCCTGGGATATGTTGGATCCTGTGGATGTACTTGCAAAGTTGCCAGGAAACTTCATGGAAGGCACTGATTCGAAAAAATGGGTAGAGCGGAGAGATGCGTTGCAATCATTACTTGCTCTTTGCACGGAGAATCCGAAACTCTGCCCGAAGGCTAATTATGGAGAATTCGTAGCCTTACTTAAAAAGGTAATTAAATTTCGGCAACTCTTTTGTTCTACAATTTTAGGTATCAACAAGGGGAAATATTAACTATTCTTGGATTGCATACGTCATTTGCTAGTCTTTTCTGCACGGCATAGTTCCTTATTTTATATATTTTCTCAATCCCAGTATGTCGTTAAAATAATTTCAGAAGGATGCATGTTTTTTGTCAAATGAAGTTCATGTAAAATATTTTCCTTGAAAAAATTTTATTAAGATTCTGGAGAAAGATGCAAATATCAATGTTTGCGCTCTGGCAGCTCGATGTCTAACGGCATTTGCAACAGGTTTACGTAAAAAATTTGCGCAGTATGCAACCATGGTCGCACCAACAATTTTTGAAAAATTCAAAGAAAAAAAGCCGGTTTTGAGAGATCCACTCATTGATTGCATTGATGCTGTTGCTGCTTCGGTTGGTTTCGGATTATAGTTAAAAGCATTTAAGAGCTTATAATCTTTTGTGTTGTATAATCAACTTTAGTTTCGCTTGCATATTTAGACCACTCTGGAAGCGCTAGCTGAAGACATCCAAACAGCTCTTGATAAGCAAAATCCTCATATTAAAATCCAAACGAATCTTTTTCTGTATCGCGTTTTCAAACGACATAATCCGCAAACTGTCCCCAAGAAAGTTTTGAAGTCACTGGCCCCAATAATCGTGAAGCTCACTGGTGATTCGGATCCTGAAGTACGTGATGCTTCCTATGCTGCATTAGGTGCTGCTATGAAAGCTGTTGGTGAAAAGTCGTGTATGGTTTTACTTGCCGATATCGCGGAAGACAAAGTGAAAATCGCAAAAGTATGTTATTTTTCTTCTAATTTTTTCGATGTCTTTTTTAGCTAAAGGTGTTTTTTGATTTCTAATACTGTGTTCTGGGAAGAAATAGAAAGGTTGTAGGGTGAATTTTTAAAATTGTTATTTAGTGGCACTTTGCTACTGATTTTCAGAAATCAATTGAATTTACAGGGACTATCTGTAATTGATGGCATACTTCAATCTTCATAGTTTTTCCTTTTTTCAAAAGCATTTTTTTCAAAAGAAACAGTTAGCCTTATCCTGAGATGATGTAATACTTTAAAAATAAAAATTATAAAGTAGAGATGATTAAACGTAATTATTCTTTAGCACTTAATTGTTAACATCTGGTGAAAAGGTGATTTACAGATCAAAGATTTCTGTGAGAAGGCTGTTCAAGAAGCTGGTACAGATGTTGTTTCAATTATGGTACAAAGCATGCATAAAAGCAATGTGAGTCGTTCATTTGCATGCATTATTATATTAGTAATAATATAATAAAGAAGAAAAACCGAAGCTTTTTGGATGTTTAGTTAATTGCGAATGCTGCTGTCACTGTGTATTACCAATCATTTGTTCCTCCGGAAGGTGGATAGATTGTTGAATTATAATTATCATTAAGTAGCTCCAATAGTGAAAATATTATAGATGAGATCCTATTTTTATCGGCTTGATATGCACTTTTTTTTCAGAATCATTCTTTTATTTGCTTTCCCACAAACTGCGAATGCTTTATTTAAGTTAAAGAAAAATTTCTTTTTTTGTCTAGTGTTTTTGTTGTGCTTCGAAAATTTTCCTCTTTGCTTTGGTTTTTGGATGTGATAGTTTGATTTGCTATCGCCTTTTTGAAGTTGTGGTGATTATTGTATTGTATGTTTCCCTTATTTTACGGTGAATGCCATTTAGCTTGAAAATGGAACAGGTGCTGGAAACGCTAATTCGAATCTAGCTTCAGTAAGTTACTTTCTTCTGTGTTTTTTATTCGATTTTAAATTTTATAAAAAATTTGTATATAAGAACTTAAGGCTCTTTGTTAGAAATTCTTCCTTAATTTTGTGTTGGTATTTCTGTGGAATGGTTCCCAGAGTTTTATTTAGCATATATGTAACATGGTACTATGACGCCTCAAAGCTGATTGGAATGTGGGCTATTTCTGAAGATAAAAAAAGAGCATGAAAGATTTAGATATATCTGATGTTAGAATATATATTGTTTGATGGCAGAATTACTTTAATCTTCTTCTGGCTTTTGTAATTGACTGATAATAGCTGTCATCGTTCATTTTCTGCGAAATACATTAGTCTTATTGAGTCATTTGTCCAGTTTTGTATTTTTGCATGCTTGTCATTTTGTGGCAGTAATAGTGATTCTAAGATGCCATTTCGCATTTGATTTTCCTGTAAGTTGCGACAATTTACCATAGTAAGCGAATTTTCAGCACTGAACTGCCGGTTTATCCCTTCCCAGTTTTTCATAGTTTTCGAATATTTCGTTTTACAGAAAATTAAATTGTTTGTTCTCAGCCTCTGAAGCCGCCAGCACCAGGTGTAGGAAATTCGAATGTTGGTGGGAAAGCGCATTCAAAGGAAATCACAAAAGAGGATAATACGGAAGAGAAGCCATCAAAGTCATCATCTAAGAAAGAACTGGAAGCTGCAAAGGTTTATTTCTATTAAAGTTTTTTTAACATTCTGATATTACTTCTATTTTACTGTTTGCTCCTCAAGATAGTTCATATTATGATATACGGATATTGGAGAGTAATATGCGATTGATTTTTAGGAACCTGAAGAATCGATAAAGACGAAGGATGAGTTTCTGGTGATTAATAAAGACAAAGGAGTCAGGTTAAAAGATGAAAGGAACCTTCGGGTATGTTTTTCTCTGACATTATCTAATTTTTTCTATTTATTTTATTTTTATTTTATTTTTTTGAGCTGCTAAGCAGTAAAAATTAACTTATGAAAAAGTACTCAGGTAATAAATGTTTTATTTACTTAGTTTCAGGTTCTTAAATGGAACTTCGATCAGCCTGGTTTTGAGCATGTAGAGCAGCTAAAAACATTACTGGGTAATGTCACACAGGCATCTTTGTTAACATTATTGTTTAACAAGGATTTCAAACAACAGCTTAGGGGAATCGGCATCCTACAATCGGTAGGTCTATTAATTCACCAGTCCCAATTTTTATGAGGCTGTTGGTATAGATATAATAACTCAAAAACATACATCCCAAACATGCTTCATTGTAAAAATGAATTTTGAAAGTTTAATGTTTCAAATTCAATATTTTTTTAAACGATCGTCGGAATTTCTAACGAAAAAGTAAAAATTGTTGCGTAAAAGCTCATTATTTTTTTCTCTCCTTTTTTACAAACTTTTTGCATTCTTTTTTGTTCAGTTGATCACCGATTGTCCAGAATCTTTGATATCAAATAGTGATTTACTACTGAAATGGATTTCATTACGATTTTTCGAAACGAATCCAACAGTTCTGCTGAAAGTACTTGATTTAACTCAAGGAATATTCACCCTTTTGTTGCAATATAACGAGCCTTTTTCGGAACAAGAGATGTACTCTTTTGTTCCATATTTACTTCTAAAGGTTTGATTCTTTCCTAGATTCTCAATTTCCATATTATGATTGTCTCCTTTTTTTTATGAGAGGATTCGCACTGTCCATCAGTTGAAACCTTAGGTCTTTGAATTTTGATTCTGCTGCTTCCAATTTACACTGGAGAATAAATAATATAATACTAGTCCAGAAACCAATGAAATTTTTGTCGCATTCAAAATTCTAAAAACAGCTGCATACAAAGAAATTTGGTATCCACTGGCCAAGTTTTTTGTCAAAGAAATATGACTTGTGGCAGAACATTCCGAACTACTGATTTTTTTTAGAATAAAAATGAACAATATTTCTGATTACTGTCAGTTAGTTCACGAAAAGTCGAAATTTGTCGAATTTCGAAAACTCTCTTTTTAGTTAGGAGAAGCAAAAGATTCGGTGCGTACACCAGTACGTACTATAATCCAATTGGTCACGGAATTGGTCAGCCCTCCAAAGATATTTCCACTTATAATTGAGGGCTTAAAGACGAAGAATTCGAGACAACGGACAGAATGCCTGCAAGTTTTAGAGCAATTACTTGATACAACGGGAATGGCTGCAACTACAACACCAGCTGTAAGTCTCTTTAGTTCTGTTATTTTCCCGATAGTTGTCGTGAAATCTCACCCTACACCTTCAAATTTTAGGAACATCCAAAATAAACTCTAGTGAGAAGAAGTTTGCTTAATATTGGGTATCTATTAAATTCCCTGTACAGCTACACTGATCATTTTCAGTGTCAAGAAGGTTAATTCCCTGCACTTCTGTATTCACACACAAATACGAGTTATGTTAAATGTAATATATTTGCAGCAATCTTTGAAACAAATCGCAGCGTGCATTGATGATCGTGATAATAATGTACGTAATGCGGCAATTAATGCTATCGTAGTAGCTTGGAAAGAAGAAGGTGATCGAGTTTTTCAACTTATCGGTAAAATGAATGACAAAAGTAAAGCGATGTTGGATGAACGTATAAAACGAAGTGGTGTGGTTTCGAAGGCGCGAGGTAGAAGTGTATTTTTCTCAATGAGTCTAACACGATCAATATCTACTTTAATCACCGCATTGTATGGAAAAACATGTCTGTTCGGTTATTTGTCAGCAAAGGAGAATTTTAGTATCAAAGTGTAATTAACAAAAAATATTTCAAACAAACATGAATCGAAGATGTGAAGGTGACGGAGGAAGGTTTGTAATTTAGTACATAATGATAGTGAAGGAATATATGCAAATTTAATATTTTTTTGCAGGGGGGCCGGAACGAGTTGGTACCTCAACCAAACGTAATGCCAATATTTCTGTTGGCATCAAAGGTCTCTTTATACGTTTACTTACTCATATTGCCTTTTTAAACTGCTCCACTATAGTTTTAAAGAATTAATAAGTGGAACGAAGTATAAGGTCAGAAAAGTTGTGACACTTTTATCATTAATTTTTAGGAAGGGGACTAAGAAGTGACCGGTCATCAAGTAGGATAGGTAGAAACACTCACAGAAGTAGCAGCATTTCTCGTGATTCCAGTCCAGTTGAAGAAAAAGAAAATAATCGCACGTTTACAATGCAGGTATGTGAAATTTATGATAATGCTAGCAAACAAGGTATTTAAGACATTTCTGACGCTATTTGGGGTGTACAAATAGTTTTCACGCCTTTTTCAACACATTCAGAAAACCGAGCTAAAGAATTGGTCAAGAACATGGCAATGTGTGTAATTCCTACAGTTATATTTTCCCAAATGTAAATTTTTTTGGAAAATTATTTGCTTTATTTATAGAGAGGAGATATCGCTGATCAGGTTGATGACAATGATGGGACTCGTAAACGTTTCGCTTTGAATTTAGATGTAAGTTATATAATGATAGCATATCGCTGAAATACATATGAAAAAGAAAATTGTTGAACCTATAAAAATAGTTCAGTTCAAAAAATTTTCCTGCGATTTTTCTGCTTTGTTTTTCATTTTTGTAAATTTTTCGAGCAATGAAAGATACTATCCTATAATGAGAAATTTATTCATGAATCCATTCATCATAGAGCTGCGCTCTCAGCAACTGAATAAATGAGTTTTGTGAAGTATTTTTGTGCTGTCTTACTTTTGTTTCAGTCTAATTTCCCAGTTTTGCAGCTTCTGAAGCTTGACGATAACAATGGAGCCGTGGAATATCCCGAAATTGATATCAATACGTTGGAAATGTTGGAACCGATTGAACCAGCCATCCGTAAGCGGAAACATGTACCACAATATTCAGATCGGGCAGAATCCGTTAGTTCATTGACCTCGTTGGAATCTGCAGCAGGCGATGTAGACAAGGTTTCTTTTAATTATTTTTAAGCAAATTCTCCTTCAAAAAATTGGAAAAAGATTGTTTCCTTTGCTGGGAGCTCACTGTTTGTTCTTATAGGTTGTGCATGGTGTGGCTTCAATGTCACAAGCGACTGCAACAGCAGCTATTAGTCAGCTACAATTTTTATTCGGTGACCCGAGTAATTTTCGTTATGTTGCCGACAGAACTGACGCTGTTGTACAAGCCATTGTAACGCAGTCGTCCATTATACGTAGTCGTCATCTTGATGATGTAAGCGCGTTGGATGAACTAAACGAGCTTGTCCGAACAATATGCCATTTTTTAAGCTCGGTATGTTTTTTAGAAAAAGCACAGCCTTCCATGTTTGTTATGCAGAAAATAATTCTATGAATTCATTAGGAATCCTTTAAATTAGAATTTCAATAATATGAATGTCGAATGATTTTGGTAACTTGCTGGATTCTGTTTCGGGAATATAGAATTCATTAATTATGCAAGATAAACTAATTTCTGAATTAAACAGTTGCTTTAACTCCTTTTGGCAAGACCTTAGTGTTTCAGCTTATCAAAGAAACAACAACATGCTCACGAATTTCGTCTGAAGCTTTAAAAATGCTTATACAAGAGTTCCTCTATCTTTTAAAAGATGAACGAATGGAACAACTAAAAGATATTCAATCTGTATGTATGAACTTCTGGTATTCAACATTTTTTATTTCAGTGTTGAATGCACAAAATTTTGAGTCAGTTCGCTATAAATATTGTTTCATTGTTTTGCAGATATTTCGTTCACTTAACTACTTATCAATTCGAATATGCGATAACGCTGATCCAACTGCTTGTTTTCTTGCGCTTTGTTCAATGTTAACATCTGCTTTACACGATCCGCGGAATAAAACTATCGAACTCATAAATAAAGTATCAGTTAAAATCGTATTTTCTTCCTTTTAAAAATTCGTAAACGATATTTCGTGATATTTTCAACACAATATTTGTCCAATGTTTGCGAATTGAAAGTCAGATTAAATTTTAAAATCATTTTGACTTGACTGCATAACTTCTGCTTCAGTAAAACATTTCAGTGTATTTACAAACAATCTGAGCTATTCCTCCGCGATGTGCCTATGAATTTGGATGAAATCGTGAAAGCAATTCATATTTTCATGCAGGAATTCCGTCCTCGAGTGGACGAAAATAAAAATATCAAAAATTCCATGCATTCAATGGAATTATGTATACAGCGTTTGGTAGCAGGAACGAAATCATCGGTTTGTTTAAATTTTGAATTTTCTAATAAACACAAAGAAAATGTTTTAAATATTTGGATGTTTATAAAATTTGGGAACATTTTTGTTCAGGTAATACATCATATTGGAGAAATAGCGAATCCTGATTCAAGTGAGGCTGTAATTTACATGAGGAAGTGTGTTCGTGGCTTGCAAAACAGGAGTAATCAAAATAGCCTAGCATCATCAGCGTATGGAGAACTGCCAGGGCAGGTGGATTTATTAATTTATATATCAATGAGCAACAGTAGTTTTTTTGTAATTCTTGAATTATGTTAAAATTAGTCTACTTATTTTTGAGACTTGAGGATTTTTGGAATTCCAGGTACTTTCTTCCAATTATGAGGAGTCAGTACGAAATCTGATTTCGAAAATTATTGAGAATCCATTTGGAAAGGTTTGTGAAGTTCATTATATGTTCTCTTCTTTTTACCTTCTTTTCCCCTCATTTCTTTCCTTTCTTTTTCGGGTCAAATAGAGCTATGAAATTATGAAGCTGTTATTATATTAATTTGATTTTTGCTCTTAAAATTGTCATGAAGATTTGTTCAGGGCTTACGGCTTTTGCATACATTTCTGAAGATGAACCCGGATGCCCGGAAGATCCTGGAAGAGGAGCTAAAAAAACATTTTCGAATGCGGGTTAGTCCGTTATGGGGATTTCGTCAGTGTCCTGTTCACTGCTTTTCATGTTGTTCAGTCGAATTTAATTTGAAGTAACTGAGCTTGTTTGAGTATTTTATTACTTGAGTATTTTAGGACTGAAAAGTTGTAAGGGAGGTTTTGTGTCGTTCAGAATATTCAGACATGTTTCCCTAGCTTTCTCCAACGATAACTTCACCGACCAATTAAATTGGAGCAAAGTGATTTACTTATTGGAGAGTAAGCTTGTTTCAGAAAAATTATTAAGCGTTTCCGACTTATATTTGCATCGTCATCGCGGAATCGTGCTATACTAGTCATAGTAGAATTGATTATCTTTGCTACTAAAAAGGATTTTGAAGAAACTTAAACTTAAAGATTTAAGTTCCATAGATTTGCATTACAAAACCTGAATTGTACTTATTGAAGGGTCATACGTTAAAGCGCCTTCCGCATAAGGTGAGCGTTGACAACTGTCCACGCAAACTTCAAATTGGAATGTCTGTTTCTACTTTCTCTAGCATGGCTTTTGTATCGAACCGCCATACTTTTTTTTGTGAATGGATATTCTGAATCACATATGTTCACATACCATGTGCTTTTCATTTTTGTGTTTTGCGCAGCTTGATGTGGAACGAATTCAAAATGATTGGAATCATATCTTTATTTGCAGGATTTCATCACTCTTCATTTGAAAAAGATGGATTTAGAAGATCGTGAGACACCGGAAGTCACTGACGAACTGTATAATGTGGGTTTTTTTATTGGTGTTGCCTGCTGTTTGATAACAGGAGATGGTCTTAAGTTTTATTCCGCGTTTTAATATCGTGTAGCGATTTAAAAAGTCGGAGTTTTTTAAACTGTTGACGGATTATAAGCGTGCTAACTGCCAACTAAATTTGAATAGAAAGTTTAAATTTTAATCGAATTTTAAGAACTCCAGTTCTGGAAATATGTGATATGGTGAAGTATTTGTTGGTCGTTATTGTTGAATCTGTTTACAAATGTTTTGCTATATTCTTTGAAGGTAATGGAATCTATTCGTGCACATCGTGAAGCATTGTGTAATTATCGACAAACAGGTTGGTGGACTGGCAGTGCTGTTGGCGCTGTAGTTGCATCAACCGATGAAAATACAAAGCCAGTGGCTGTACGTCGTTCATTCCAAAGGCGAGTTTGCTGTTCATTTTTTTCTATAGTTGAATACTCTATATACTTCCCCTATAGGTAACAAACGATTGGTTTTCTAAACATGTATTTTATGCTTCCTTCCTTAAAAATCTTACATTTCATTGTTATAATTTTCATTATATTTTAATTCCAGGCAACCTTTGGAAGGGGCACCAGAAAATGAATTGGTTACACCGATACATACAAAACCCAAACTTACAGTCAGTGATGTGGAACCACTGAAGCAACTACTGAATATGCGACGACAGCAGCAGTAAACGAAATTATTCGTGATGATGTGCATTAGTTTTTATTTTAAATTGAGAAGAGACGCGAAAGGATATTTGAAAAGAACGTGCGGACTTCAATGAATACGACTGTTTGCAAAATATTTTTGTTAATTGATATGATGTTTTAAAGTTTTTGTTTAAATTCATTCAATTTTAGCTGGAACTAATCGAAGTATTTAAAATTTTCCGTGAGAATAAGATGAGGTTAATGGCATTCAATTTTGCACAACACTAAGATACGTAAGAAAAAGTCAAAAAAAAAGATTAGCAAAACAAAAAGTATTTAAATAAAATTTTATGAAGTAATTAGATTATGATTTTTTTGCTTGCGAAGTTTTTCATTTTGTCTCTTTATGTTTTCATCCTTGAATTATTTTCTCTGCACGTTATTTCGGCTGTATTTTATTTCATTATTTATATTTATCATTGTTTCCATTCTGCCATTTCAGAAAATATTTTTAGCTTATTTGCCGGCTTTAATTATATGTTGAAAATTAAGCTTCCATGTTATCTTATTCCCATTTATCTTTCATAAATGTGTTTTTGTATAAGAGTGTGTGAGTGTAGGTGCTGCTACACCTCTACTTGATTGCTAGTATGAAGACGGGTGTGTTTTATAAACGAATTTATATAGCATATTAATAATTCCAGAATAAAAATGTTTTACTCTAGACGTAGTTTTTCTTTTTTTGGCAACAAAGAAGTGATCATTCAATTAATCTTCAAGAATATTGTTTGGTAAAAATTATTCTTGTTTTTCATTTCTATAGTTGATTCGCTGCTGTTTCGTATTCCAGCTATCAACAGACTAGTCAACGTAGGTTGGAGAAGCGGGTAGTAATGCTCAATATGCAGTTGCTCCATTATGGGTAATGCAATACATTGAATATCGAACATAGCTTTTGTGTTCCGGGATCAAATTCGAAACGTGCCAGTGGAATATAAGTAGTAGAAAAACTGCTGAACTTATGCACTAACACTGCACTATGAGAAGGGATAATGGTTGCTTGCAAGAGGACCATTAAACTGGTTGACCTGACTGTCATTGTTTTGGATGTTAGACATTTAAAACCCGCGTTTCAATTCTGGTACAACTGGAATTAAAACTTTGGTGGAGAGTTGAAAGGATGCTGTTGGGGCTGAGTGGTCTAGTGGTATGATTCTCGCTTCGGGTGCGAGAGGTCCCGGTTTCGATCACCGGCTCAGCCCACTTCATTTGTTGGTTTTGAAAATGCGAGTTTCACGTGGGCGTTACTATGAATTTCGAGAATGTGCCGCCTGCTCAGTTTGTCTTCTCTATCGAAATTTCAGCTTCGCGTTCTTTCTAACGGATTGCCGAAGGTGGCATGCTGCGATTAATTTTCTTTTTTATCCTTAATTGATTACATTATTTTGCAGTGCTTCGATTTCCTCGATTTACCTGCTCTATCAAACAAATACTTTTATCTAAATGTTTCTCTGTTCTACTAGACACTTCGCAGCTCGTTAACATCATTGTTAATGCTTACTTGTTAGAATAATTAATTATGAATTAGAGACTAATTATTTTTATTTTTCTTCTTTCGAAGTATGATGGAAAGATTGCTCCTAGAATTTCTCTTTATACGAAACTACTACTTCACAAGATAATTTTACAAACAATTTCTATTATTTTAACTCATTATGTAATATTTAATTGATAGTATTACATTGAATGAAATGTCATCGAAAATAACGTGAGTCATAAGAGCATAGATATTAAATACATTCATAGAGTGTCCGAACTATCATATTACTAGCAAAAATTAAAGTACATGATAGTTTATGTAGAGAGAAAGAAGGAGAAGAGTAATTTATTGATTATTCTTTTGCCTCCTTATTTAGTAAATTAATCATTTCATTTGACATTTTCAAAATGTTCCAGCTAAATTTAGAATTAAATTAGCTATGAAGCAATTAGATGGTAATGAATGATGATAAGACGGAAAGTATTGTGGCAATGAAATGTGTTTTGGAACAGAATGGAATTGTTTACTTGTCGAAAGTGGTAAGAAGGAATAAGTTGGATAGTTTTAGGTAAACAAAAAATAAATGATGTCATTTTATTGAAAAGATGGTATTTATTCATTTTGCTTGGGTTCCCCATTTAAAAATAAATGAGAATTGGACTGAACTATAAAGTGAAATGTTTTTGGAATTGTTGAGGGCATCCATTGCAGTATCATACGAGAATGTGTGTGCAAAATATTTTTCAATGGTCAGACATAATGTTGAATATGTTCTTTGATTGCTAATGAATCATATGTTTGATAATTTTGCCTCTCATAAAATATGCTGATAAATTAGTTACAAACGCTGAGTTTGCTCGCGTTGTAGTTTCGATCAAAACATATTCGGGAGCATTAGCATAGCAAATCCATTGCTAGATAAAAACTGATAGCAGCTACGTAGGCTTTGTCAGATTTTCTATCTACTTTTAATTTTGTTCAAAGTTTTTAAAACAAAAGATTGTTAATTATAGCGGAATAGAGAAATAGTTACATTGAGGATTCGTAAAACACGTGAATAATATTGACTAAACAGCTCATAATGAATGATTTCCAGTGAGAAATGGAAATAATGAATTAAACTCATTTAACTCCAAACTATTCTTTTCCATTTACTTTTCTAGAGAATGTGTGACAACGTGTTGTGTTGTTTGTTGTTGTGTTCTACTCAGAGCTGGTGCGATTTGTGGCGCGCGCATTGTTATTGATCGTTGTGAATGGCTGTTTTCCCTTTCTATTCTATCTTTTGTTCCACCCGCTTGTTCTCGTCGTTTATCATAGGATATCAACCATTGTAAAAACGATGACGGACGACTATCAGCAATGTGAAATGAAGCTTCATCTTTAGCCTAAGCTTTTTTTTATGTTAAGTGAAAAAGTTGCTCACATTTTCCATTTGTTATGCTCTCATCTGTCACATGAAATAGATTAGTGATGTGTTAGGATTGGAATTGGTATATATTTTCTTGTTGTAGACAAACTTGGAAAGTTTAGGAATTAAAATTTTGATTTAAAATATATCAAAGATTACATTCGGTATTATCCAATTAATATACATAATTACAGTTCTTTCTGAATTTAATTCATAGTTTTTCACTACAAATGCATGTTTAATTAATTCATTAGCAATAAATTTATTATTCATTTTTCTCTTGGCAATTAGTACTTTCATATTTTCAGGAGGAAGAAATTTTTTTCCTGTTTAATTATGGAGTTATTTCCTTGCTTGCTTAGTAATCTGTTCATATTTTAGTTTCTTAAAAGCATTTATTCGTTAAGCATTTACATTTGATTGCATCGAATTATTGTTTCGCCACCGTTTCATATCGATACATCACTAGAGGCTATAAGCGAATATGGATTTTTCTTTTGTTGCAGTATAAAGTAATGGCACAACAATATGGCTATGCTGGGCAACCGCCTTATCAACAGCCAGATTATCCAAATGGAGGAAATCCATATCAGCAAGGTCCTCCATATCAGCAAGGTCCTCCATATCAGCATGGTCCACAATATCAGCATGGTTCACCATACAATCAACCTCCTCCTGCTGGTTTCAATCCTCAAGGTTGCGTATTTCTTTGCCAGCAGTTTTAAACTTAAATTATAAATGTTCAGTTGAAATTTTAATCTTGTTCAAGATGTAGTTAGGTTATTTTTTGATTTCATATCTTTTTTTCTGAAAACTTTTGAGAATATATTCTGCGTTCCATAACCTATATAGTTTTTACATAACTTATCATGTGTTCTACTTGTTTATTTTCTTATGTTTAAAAAACTAAGATTCCAAGCGAATATTGTGGAAAAGAATATCGGAAGCTTGTGAAACTAATAGGTAATAAACAAGTAGGGGTTTAGTTTTTATTTTTTTTTTAAATCATAAGTTCAATAAATGATTTTTACTCCGATGATGCGATGCTAATATTATGAAGTTTCTGAAATCGTCTAAAGGTGCATCGAAAAGTATATGGAGACATTGATGTGGAGAACTTTGGAGAATTAGAAATTAACTGTGTGTTGTTCTGAAATTTAAAATCAGTAACTCAAAAAAATATTTGTTGTAATTGCTATAATTCAGTATTCATGCCACCGCCCCCGATACTACACCGCGGATTTGATGCATACGTCGAGGGCGGACGTGCTAAGTCGGATTTTGGCTTTAATTCTGCATCTGTTCGAGCAGCTTTTGTCCGAAAGGTCTTCTCGCTTGTTGGTATTATGGTATGTTACTCTTAATTTGATAAGATATTGGCAGTTCATTTTTGTACATTCAGAGATGCTTTGATCTATAGAATGCAATAATCGTTTTAGGAAATAGTTTTTAGAAGAGAGTAAAGTGATGAATAATCATTTCAATCTGTAAGCTTGAAGATTACTGAGGAGGATTTTATTTGCAACGTAATTAGAATTTAACGTAAAGCTAATTTTTTGATCTGTTTCAGTTAGCAGTGGTAACAGTGATGACTGCCATACCATTCTTTCATCGTGAAACGATGACGTTTGTACGAACTACTCCGTCACTGTATCTTGCAAGTTACGTCATTTTTACGGTTGTCTACTTTGCATTAATGTGTTGTGAAGGTATGCGAAGGTCAGTTTTTGATGCTTTTTTCTTTAAATATTAAAACCAAAACAATATAGGCCTAGTAAAAACAAATAGGTTTTGGTTTAAGCAGAATAGGAATTTGTAACTCGCTGTTTCTGTATCAGATCCTTTTATTATGTAATTTGTGTATCTTTTTCTGTTGAGCGAAATGAAACATTGAAAAAGAAGACAAATTGTAATAATTCATTTTTAAGTCAGCGGTTCGTTAAAAAGAAATGAGATTGTTTCAAATGCTTTATGAAACTTAATTGATTTGGACATAAATTCTAGATCATTTCCCGGTAATTTGGTTGCATTAAGTATCTTAACATTATCGATCGGCTACATGACCATGATGTTTACTTCTTATCACAATGCAGTATCGGTATTACTTTGCTTGACAATAACGGTTTTTTGCTGTTTTGGGATCATCCTTTTTTCGTCTCAGACGAAATACGATCTTACAAGGTTCGTGGTGAAGTTTTTGAAATGATTTATTTACTTCGGAAAAATTTTAACTTCTAAAGCGCTCCTAGTGAGATCTTCAGTGATAGTCTCAATGCTGGAAATTTTGAAAAGTTGTTATTTATCATCAAGAGATTTTGATTGTTTAGTAAAAAACCTCTTATGTTATATAGGACTTAGAAGTTATTTTTTAAATATCGTCGCAGTCTTTTGGTTACAAGTGTAGCAATTGGTAAGACACAATCTGCTCGGGTTGTTGAGGTTTGATTTTATTATCATTTAAAGTAAAATTGAAGATAGTACGGGCAGATTGTTAGTGTTAAATTATGATATTTATGTGAATTCTGATGTTTGTTTATAGTGGATTCTGTAATAGTCAAATCAGTGAAAGTCATATTATGGGAATAAAATATATTTTTTATATTTTCAGTTTGTATGGCGTATTGTTCATCTTGTCAATGGTCCTATTTGTTTTTGGTATCGTTGCAGTCGTTGCCGCCCTCGCATTTCGTGTGACCTGGCTGTACACTGTTTACTCTGGAGCCGCTGCACTGATCTTTATGATTTATTTGGCCGTTGACATCCAGGTGACTTTCTAAAAACTTGACGAAGTTACACGTAATGAGTTTCAGAACTATCAAAAAAATCTCTTTTTCGAAATTTTTTTGTTTCATTTCCAGTACACGGTTTCTCATAAATTGGGATAAAGAGCGATATGTAATTTTATGAATTGTTGGGAGTACAACAGTCATGAAATTGGGAGATTTTTCATTTTTTTTAAATATTCTATTTTACTTTTTCTAAATATTTTCTAAATTCTAAATATATTCTAAATATTCTATTTTATAAAAAAAAATTATTTTTTTAAATATTCTATTTTACTCTTTCTATGTAGACTATAGACAACATTTAGACACGTATCTGAATTATTACAGGCAATAATGGGAGGACGAAAACACGAAATTTCGCCTGAGGATTACATATTCGCAGCAATTCAAATTTTCCTGGATATCGTTTACATCTTTTGGATGTTGCTCTCACTACTCGATTCAGACAGGTATATTTTTACTTATCATACATGTGTATGTTTTTTATGCATGTTCAGTTGCATAGTGTTTTTTAAGTTATAGTTAGATTTTGTTGCTCTTCGTTTTTTATTTTGTAAGACTTCACCTAAGCATAATAAATGAAAAGTTATACACTACTCTGGAAGTTGTCGTTAAATTCAAATATAATGAATATTAACCACGAATTCGAAAATATCTGTTATATTTCAAAGATTTTTCAGCTAGTGCGCAGTGCATGTTATATTTCTGTAATCTTAATGTTTGAGATGAATCTTTCATTGTTTTAATCGTTTTTTTGCTGAAATAGTAAACAACTCCCACTCAGGCCTTTCCATATCATTAAAGGGCTTTGACTTGTGATTTCTGCTTTTTAATTAAAAAGAGATGCAGGTATATTATATCTTTTGGTTTTTTAACGTGTTTTTATTGTCAGTTCATTGTCATATCGTAGACTTCCTATTTTGCTTTCGCTTAGGTCTTTTATCACATTTTTTTCTTAGAATTTGCGAAGTTTGTAGCTTTTCATATAATATATCAACTTGACTATTTTTTGTACAAATTATCTTTTTTTTCAAAAACCATTTCAATGTTGGCTTGTCTGTTTAGCTGATGTTTTTACTGTTAAGAAACTTCCACATTTATGGAATCTAGTAAACATTCATATTACAAAATTTTTGTTAGGGCATCATGAATTCAAGGGAAATGATCATATATGGTCATTCATTTTTTTGAAATTATTATAATTTAATATTTCAGAAATTGAAGTGAGCTGATGATTATTCTTCGAACGTCTAAGGGTTTATTTTGTATTTCATCAGGGACGATCGATGGAGTTTTTTTCTCGCTTTATCTTTAATTTTACTTAGATATTTCCCGTTATTTTTCGATAAAATGTTCAATCATTTACATATTTACACTTTACTGTCAAATAAAGTGAACCTCTGCAAATGATTATTTTAGTATAGATATGAAGAGTTTTAGAGACATGAATGTACATTGGGAAATCGGAGATGAAAAACGATCAATAAATGTATTCTGGGAATTTTGACTACTTCAAAACTTAAGAATATATGTGTTATGGTTTCGATTTTAGATATCTCGGAAACGTAATGTACTTTTAATTATTAGTTTTAATGTTCACTTTCTGGATTATTATATTGTTTCGTCCTGTCGTTTGTATTGCAAATTTTTCCTTAATTGCTTTTTTTAATTTTGGTTCTTTTTAAAAGTCGTTTTAAATCATTAAGCTTGTAAATGAAAAAGTTCTCTCATCTTTGATCTGTGATTCCTTTTCCTTCTTACATGGTTTTTATTTTTGCTACGACTATTTTCATATAGTTTTCACTAACTGCTATTATTTTGAAGCGCGTCGAAGTTAACAATTTAGAAATAAACTTAGAAGTAAACTTTCGTATTCTGAAGTATTCCCGAAGCAGTGTTATGTGAGGGAAGTATTCATAGACTGGATTGAGTTTATTTTGTTTGTGAAAAATTAAATAAATAATTGATGCTAATGGAAATGAGCAGCTCAATCTAAATGGAAAGCATGAGGAGTGGCAAAAGGGTTGTACGTTCGTTTGTGAAATGATACTACTATCTTATAGAGAGATTTGGCTATACCATCTAAATGTTTTTGCTTTGTTTTTCGTCATCTATTCTATTTTAATTGCTTTTTTGTTTAGTGCAGCGATGAAATTGACTAATTAGGGGAATTGTAATTCTTACTGCTAATTTCATTGCCTAACCTGACTCATAAATTGAACAAATGCGGAAGAGATTTGGTTATTGTGTTCTGTGATAATATGCGCAATGAATAATACTAGACATAGGAGAGATGGAATATAATAACTGCTAAAATTATTGGAAATAAATATTCTAAGTGGTTAATTGAAAACCGTTGGATGGCGAACTGTTGGGTTTCCATAGCATCTTCTTTTTAAACGGCTAATTAACTCCTTGAATATTTCACTTTTCTTCCTCCTTCAAACCAAAAACATTCGCATCGATTATATAATCAATCGGATTAGCATATATGCATTAATTACATTAATAATGAAATCTGTTGTAAAGCGGGTTTCTTTAATATATTTAGTAGCATGGAGAGGTCAATCAAGTATTTATTAATCTAATCAATTAAAGCACATGTTACTGACTTCTCATTCATTCATGCTTTATTTTTATCTAATATGGTTAATTAGCTAATCGGTATTATCATCTACACTTCAGATTTAATTAGCTGATCATCTACACTATATTCTCTATCTACATGACATCTATTTATCAATCTATCTACACGATATTTTATCATCTACACTTCAAATTGATCTTCGTCAATAATTTTTTTTTAATTATTTGTAACAAACAGCATTAATTCCACCGATACTGTACATATATGCACAAAGGAAATTATCATTAGAATTTCATGCTGGTGTTTCAAAATGCTATTTCATCATTGTTGCCCGTATAGCGATCTTTCTGATGGTATTAAAATTGAGGTGATAGGAGAAAACTACCAATACATGCTTTATTGCTTTTGTTTTATTCCCAAAAACTTTTGCACTTTGAAAAATCCCTTACTACCACCTTACCAACGGTATAGATTTCGTATCAGTACTAGTTTATTCTGCTGAACAATAATCAGATCCATTTTTATAATTACGGGATCACATTCTTGGTTACATAAATGGCATAATTTAAGACTAATTAATAGCTTTACAATTTTACATAAGCTATTTGGTTTGACTCTCTTATTATCTAAGAAACACTAAACTGATTCATTTTCTGATTTGCTTTTATTCTTTGTTATTTTTGCTTGTCAGTAAGTGATGACATATTTTTTATCATTCATAGATCATATGATCTTTTTAAACTCAGTAACATACTGTTGTCTACGAGTTTTAAAAGGCAATTGTCAGATGTGTTAGGAATCGATCGCAATGTCAAAGCAATATCGAACAAGTGAATTTGAAGTGACAATGTAGGTAACAGTGAGTAAACACTGAATACTGAATACGAACCCGATATGAAGCTATCTATCGGAGAATATTTCGATTATTTCAACGGATTGATTCATTATGAACTATTTCCGTTTTCCGATCGATGTCATTTCATTTAATTTTCGGAATATTGCAATGAATTCATTATTAATTATTTGGTTCAGTTTGCAACACTTCTAATTTATTTTTATGTTATCAGAAGGCAAAAACCAAATGAATGCATAATTTAATAATTGTCAAACAAATTTAAACCCTTCCTTTCTCTTATTATGCAGCACTGAATGGGATCATATATGAGCTTTTATCAAGCTCAGAAGTATTCAACAATATTGATCTGACTAATCCTAAAGTCAAAAAAACTAATAAATCGAGAATGTCGTGATTACATGCAATTTCATTTTTTATTGCAACAATTCATATACCTTAGCGATGCTTAATATGTATTCTGTAGAGAACAATGAAAAGAAATTTTAGCAAAACTTCTATTTTCAACAGTTTACAGTTTTATCAATCAATATTATCTGAGTGATGATATATATGAGCTTTTAAAAGTCAGGTAAGAAATTACACGCACCTAAACACTCAAAGTATAACTTCGTTTTAATTTGTTTCAAAGTCAACAACGATCGATTAACAGGATCTTTGTAATATTGAATAAATTGAACATATATTGTTCTGTACTGGTCAAAGATAAAAATAACTTTGATCGATTTTACTCGATGGTATAACATAAATTAGCCAAAGAGATAACCGATAAAGCAGTATTATTCATTAATTACATCAGAAATACATCGGATCTACTACAAAGAGATTCCCATCACATTTCATGTTTTTATTGTGTAATTCGACTGATACATGCTATTGATGAGATTGCATAATTAGTGGACAGAGATTAATGATGAGGTCAATCAAAATTTATTGCATAATTAGGGGGCGGAGAGAGAGAAATGATTGAGTGAAAGATGCGCAAATGAAGATTCTACTCTTACATAAACGCATCTCTTCTTCCATATATCATTGACACTGAGATCAGGAAGTGACCAGGCGGTTATTAGTAGCGTAAATTTTTACCGATGTCGTTTTTTTAAAGTTGTTGTTGAAATAACAATCTTTCTTTGCCTTAAAATTTAGTAGTAAGAATTGAGGCCTATCGGATGGTTGTTTACTTTTTTAATTTCTCCTTCTGAATCCGTTAAATAATATGAGAATCTTTTTTCTTCAGTTAATATTCTGTGTTTCTCCATTTTCCCAATCATATTTTATTATTTATGAATTTATTGTTTCTCAATGGAACTTAACAATTTATTGGAATTTAAGCATGAAGAAATTACATATTTGATTTTCAATTAGTAGAAGATGCGTTTATCGCTCAATTTTGCTGCATTTCAAAGAAGTATGGAGGATCATCTCCGAGTGAGTTTTAATTCTAATTAATTTTCCTTCTACTCGCTATTCAACTCTCATAATCAGAATTGTATTCTTTCTGATTTCTTGATCAGTTATTTAGGTATGTATTAAAGCTTCTGTAATCAAAAGTTGCTTCAGTATAGATTTTACTGCATGCCAACTTAACAATTTCATCCGGAAATGATTCTTACCGATTTTATTTTTCTCTTTTACACATTATCAACGTTTAATCACTGAAAATTGAGGATTATCAGATAGTTGCTTAATTTGAATTTCTTTCCTTAAAGCAAAGTTCGTCAAAAAGAGTGATGCATGGTGAGCCCTTTTATCAATTACTACGGAAATTCATACTCTATTTCATCTCCACTTTCCCAATATTTTCTTCAAATATCATATCGAACTTTGTTTCAGCAAACAATTGAACTTCGACAGACAGAAAGCACGGATCGATTGAACGAGTATCCGCATTGCGTAAAACATTTGATAGCGGAATGAATCCGCTATCGAGATGAGCAACGGCAACGTAAAATGAAATCGTCTGTTCCGGCTATCGTTAGCTTCAGGTTAGTAAAAATTTTAGTTTCGTTTATTTTATCTATTTTCTACTACAAACTTTTTAATATGTGCTGTAGCATGTTTTCAATTATTTGAATTTGTAATATTTGATCACAAAATTTCTTGAAGATTTCAATCAATTACTATTTATCGCTATCATTCAGAATCCCCGCTGCAATGATTGATGTGTTAGTTGGAGAGGAAGACCAGCAATCACATCTCATAGCATATGCAACGGAGACGGAATTGTTTCTGCCACGCCGTTTACAAAGCTCCACCTTTACAATCAGCGGATATGATCATAACATCCGCAAAGCTCTGCGGATTATTGAGAAAATAATCAATGAAGAGTGTTGTGATTCCGCTTCTTCAAATTACACTTTTATTGCTGATCCGAATGTGGTAAGATATATTTGATTTCAATTTGAGTCGTAATTTTTAAAAGATATTATCTGCAGTTTTTTTTTTGACTAAATTTATGAAGATTATTGATTAAACGATAAATTTTACAGGAGGAAAGTGGTACAAATTATATCCTTTGCAACGGATCGATTCGTGAAGCAAGGTATAGGCCTAAGAAGGGAAGGTATGCATCGAGGTTAATAAGAGTATCAAATATTTGGTGAACTGAATTGATTTTTATTTCTAACATTTTGTGTATATTGTGAAATTAAGCATTGTATAGTGTTTTTTGAAATGTTTTTTTAATGTGTTTTTAAAGTGTTTTATTATTTAATGAGTTGTATTGTTTTATTTAAATATGCAAATAAATAATCAATCGATTTTTGCATAAAATTATTGTGTTTTAATAAGAAACAATTTTTCATAGATGTTTGCATTTCCTTCTAAAATATCATTTTGTAAAATTGGAAACGAATAATATGAGATTCTTTTAGCGAAACTGAAAAAGTCTAAATTCCATTTTCGCAACTGATATTAACAACCACTTGCTGACTACTAGCGGTTTATTAATTTGAAATTTCTCTAGAAGATTATACCATAAAATTATTCAGTACAAATTATGCTAATTATGTCAGTGGTAATTTTGCTTAAATTATATGAGTTAAAATGTATTTGTTTTTTTTCAAGTAACCAAACTATAATATCAGTACACTTCTTATTTTGGATCTCAGTTTCATCAGGGAAGTTAGATTTCTATTTCATTTTTTATTCCTTACTAATTTAGTTGTGCAGTTTATTGTTTTATTCAAATTTCTGTAGGTATTATTCGAGAGTACCTATTTATGAGAAGTTGTTGAGGAAACAAATAGGCGATCTGACAAAATTTATTTTAGTTATTCATTATGATATTATGTCTTTGCTGTTTGCTAGTTTTATCAAGCAATGCTAACTGAGGCGATGATGTATATGAAATTTAGTCAAATTAATTAAATTCAACATGGCTTATAAATCAATACAAGTGCTATAATTTTGTTAAGCATAAATATGGAAAGTGAGGAGAAAAGGTTTAATCATAATATCGAATAGGTCATTCATAAATGATTTCTGTATAAATCAGAAACAAAAGAAAGGTAGATCAATGATATGGGACGATAATGCTGAACCTTTCCTCTACTCTACCTCATTACCAAAGAGATTTAACAGGACGTCAGCCTGCCTGCTTTAATTCTGATCGATTTTATGTTTCTTAACTTCTTCCATCTCCTACACCTTATCAACGTTTAATTAGTAAAAACAAAGCTTGTCAAATAAATTCTTAATTTAAATTATCTTCACTTAAACCCGTCATATATGAGGATCCTTTTACTCTCGGCATCTTCCTTGATTATTTTCTCAATAATCCGTAGAACTCCATGGATTATTGAAGAAATTATCAGAGAAGAATGTTGCATTCGTTCTTCAGCTTACGCTTTTGTTGCTGATCCAAATGTGGTAAGATGCATTTGATTTCATTCCGTTAATTATGGATTTAGAAGCCATTATTAGATCCCTAAAGGTTATTCAGAAGAATAATAACTTTTATAGGATCGAAATGGCAACAATTTCATTCTATACAATGGAGCAATTCATAAAGTGATAGGCTTGGAAAGGAAGGCATACACCAAGGCTAAATGGATGAAATATTTAATCAATTAAATTAATTGGTCTGATTAAGATTCTGTAAGATTCTGTATATGTTATATAAAATTGAGCAATTTTCCGCAATTTTGAAAATTGATTAATCATTCCATTTTATGCAGTGTCTGTTCAACAACTGATAAACTGATAAACTGATAAAGTTAGTATCTGTTCAACAACTGATAAACTTATTTTATTTGATTATTTCAAATAAACAATTTATTTTTATTTGAAAATATAGCATTTTTAATCAAAACTACTTTTGCGATATTTGCATTTTCGTTTGAAATATCTTATCACAGGAAGAAACTTATGTTTTTTTAACTCAACAGAAATAAAAATAGATTTTCTCCGTTGACAATTTCAGATGAATTTATTATTCCTTCTCAAGAATATGCATGATTCCTAATGTTAAACTGTGAAACCTTTTACTAATTAGTGTACAAAATCTTAAATTATGCCATTTATGTGGCCAAGAATATAATCTGTAGAATATAATCTGTAATTCGTGATATTCCGAAATCAGGCTATGAAAACAATGAATTACAGATTTTAAGTATGATGTTCATCGATCAGCCATATATCCTATATTCATTGAATTTAGTTTTTCGTCATAAATTAGTCTATCGTTAATATCGGCTACAATTCAACGAAATATACCATATTACTTGCAATTACATCTTAGTGACAACTTCTTCATATTTGGCCGTAATTCACCAAGCAGATCTGAAATATTACGAGGAATATTTGAAGAATATATCATTTAATGAAAAAGAAAATGTAATAATAATGGCATTGACAGAAAAACAAAACTTTACTAATTACTGTTAAAATCACTAACACTTCATCTCTGCAATATGAAACATCTGAATTTGAAAATGATACTTTAAACTATTGCAATAAACTATATTTTGATGCATCAAATCTTTGAACTGTTTGCATAACTTAGAATTAATAATTATTTTAAGAATTTTTAATTTGATAATTTCTTCATTCAAGATAGGCTTTTTAGTTTTATTTGAAATCTTATTATTCGATAGAAATTAAACGCTTCAATTTTGCTTGGTGATAATTAATACTGCTTGTAATTGCAGCAGTACTGGCAAGTTGTGACCTAATGGAAGATGGAAGAGGATTGCCTATTTTTGATGAAAGTTATTTTTGGTCGACCTATTTAGTATTACAATTCAATTTACCCTCTTCCCCATGTTTAAATTTATTTTATACTTAGTTGACCTTCAATTTCAAAGGAAAAAAAGTAACGAAATTATGGCATTTGTCTCATTCAATTAGCATATCCAATTTTTGACTTGACCTAAGTCACATAAAAATATCATCAAATGTTTACGAAATGTTAAAATGTCAAGTTTTGTCAACACATCAAAATTGATGTTTCAGATAAATTTTATTAAGAGGATCAGTAGTTGTTCTTCATTTAAAACTATTACTGATAATATAGTTCTTCATTTAAGACCATTATTGATAACATAGTTTTTCAATTAAGACAATTACTGATAACCTATGTTTCATAATGGTCATATAGTAAGATTAGTATAAAAGGAAAAATGAGAAGTGATTTTATCAGAACATGAATCATTTCAGGAATTAATAAGAAATGAAATTATGTTAAGAATTTAAAATGAATAAAATTTGAATTGAGCATTCTAGACAATAAAATCTACTAATTAGGATGTTCAGTTGATCAATTGATTTTTCTCTTTTCATCATTTCTTTATCAGTAAAATTTCAATGAATTAAATTATCAAGATTCTCCTTAATTCTCATTTCCTTCATTGTCGAAATTTTTGTAGGATTGATTCGATTAAATTTGATAAATGATTTATTGAAATTATTTTCGGAAATCAAACAATGTTCTAGGAATTAATATTCGCCATCTAATGAACACTATGCTAATTATGATGAAAAGGCAAATATATAGTGGTATAGCTAATATTATATTAATAAATGTATCCATGTTTAGTGCACCAATAACATCGCCCGATATTTGCACCTCTTCAATCATTGATTTCTGAAATGATTCATTGTATTTGAATAATTGAGATTAATTTATTATTCTTTCTTGAGACCATTTATAATTTCTATTTTTATATATGCTATCAATTGATTAAAAATTTTAATTTAGTAGATTAAATTTAAAATGCAATTTGTCAGTAAGCTTATTCATTAGATGATTCAGAGGAAATGATTAAATGTAGTTATTTTCATTTAATGAAATGATTCCTAGTATTCAGTTTACACTAACTGTATTATGCATCAGAATACAGTTTACACTAATTGTACTGGGATCATAATACAGTTCGCGCTAACTGTATTCTGATCCCAATACAATTAGTGTAAATTTTTATATATGCTACCAATTGTATTGTACGTCAGAATGCAGTTTACATTAATTGTATTGTGCATCAGAATACAGTTTACACTAATTGTATTGCGTAAGAATACAGTTCACGCTACTATATTGCGCATCAGAATACAGTTCACATCAACTGTATTGTGCAACAGAATACAGTTTACCTTAAATGTATTGTGTATCCGAATACAGTTTACACTAACTGTATTGGCATCAGAACAGTTCACGTTAACTGTATTGTGTATCCGAATACAGTTTACACTAATTGTATGGTGATCAAACAAATCTCACAAGTAGTGAAGTATATTTTGACAGATAAAACCAAATAAATACCTGTCGTGTAACAATTAATGGTAAAACATTTATTAGCAAGCGATCATCCTTAACTGACAAATGTACCTGGGATTCATTATACTTCAGGAATTCTGTTAGCGTAGTCTTAATATTTTTAATAAAATATCTTTTGAATAAGAAAAATAACAATCAGAGGAAGTTACGATAATTTTGATGTAAATGTTTTAATTTTTTCTAACAATCAAATGAAACTACCTTTGTGATTCCATTATCAAACTATTGTTTTCATCATTATGTTCATTCATTTATTACTACAATAAATCTTTGAACTCAAACACTTTTATAGATTGTTTACCTTATTAAAACCATTTGGTAGCAATTGTACTGTCATTCGAAATGAGAGAGTTAAAATCTCAAAGATGCAAAATTGCGTTAATGTCGTTTGCAGTACATAACGAATTTTATTTCCAATAATACAACTTAGCAAACGTTCTGTTTCAGGCTTCAATGCATTCTCTCCTTGAAATGGTTGAAGCCAATCTAAAGATAAAGATTTAAGAAATATCAGTTGAAAATAATTTAACGAAATGCTATCGTTAAAAAATAGCGATAATTTGAAGATAGTGAAAATGAAGCAATCATTATTCATTTATTTCTATTAACTCTAAGCAATTCACATATTTAATTTACACAACTAAAAATGATCATTTACTCGGATAATTTAATTAATTTAATTTAATAATTTAATTTAATGATCATTTTTAATTTAATCATTTAATTTAATTTAATTTAATTTAATCATTTAATGATCATTTTTAATTTTTAATTTAATTAATAATTTAATGATCATTTACTCGGATAATGATTGTCCATTTGATCAAATGCAATTATTTGTCCAAGATAATCCACGGTAGTTACATCATTTAATGAGGCAAAACCAGGAGCTAAATCTTTGTAACCGTATCGTAATAATCTAAGTTTTAAGCCTTCATTAACAAATATTGTTTCATCTGTTACGTTATCATCGTTGTAACAAAGATAATGTAATTTGTTACTCCATCTTGCATAATAATATCTGCGGTAGATAAGAAATTTCAACATATAAGATTATTTCAATATTTTAAAATCATCCAATAGATAATTCTTTAAAAATATCCAAACTAAACATTTTGATAACAGAATAAATGTATCATTGCTAAACAAACTATCATCATAGATGTATGGAAAATTATTGGTATCACAATCAGAAGATATGTCAAATATGCAATTCGATTTTTGATTTTAAAAAATAAACAATGTTCTAATTATGTCATTGCAATATAAGTTTAACGTTACGTGCTATTTGTTAGGTACGTGCGCCGGTTTAATGCGATATGCTACTTGTCAGCGAATGCACTGGTTTAATGTGAATGCTACTTGTTAGCACATGCACCGGTTAATGTGGCATGTTACTTATTAACGCATGCATCGGTTTAATATGAATGTTTTTACTTATTAGCGCATGCACCGGCTGATATGGCATGTTACTTTTTAGCGCATGCATCGGTTTAATGTGAATGTTACTTGTTACCGCATGCACCGGTTAATGTGACATGCTACTTATTAGCGCATGCCAATGTGACATTCTACTTATTAGCGCATGCTAATGTGACATTCTACTTATTAGCGCATGCTAATGTAACGTTCTACTTATTAGCTCATGCATCGATTTAGTATCACATGCCACTTGTTAGTGCATGCATCGAAACAAAAAGGTACAATTTCTTCTTTTACCAACTTGGGATGATAACAATGACGAATTCGTACAAATTTAGTCATTGGCCAATATATCTTGCAGCAAAGAATACCGTTGTAAATAGTCCAATTGCAAGATGGTAGCATAATACGTGCTTTAGGAGCATCAATAATAAAGAAATTTACATCCTAAACATTTTCCTTATTCAAAAATAAAACTATATCATCGAGTAAATGAATAATTAAATCCATTTAATATTATATATATTTTTTAGTTAATTATATTTGAATAGTTTAATTACTATTTGAAAAGTAAATTTTAAATGAATCGTTTTCGTAATTTCTCTTCATGCATTTTTTATTAACTATAAGCTAATGATAAGATTATGATTTTAAATTGCTTAGATTATGATTTTAAAATAATAAATGAATGACTTTTTCATCTTTAGAACTATTTAGAATTGATAGATTGGTGGAAATCAAATGTACGGTAGCTGTCGAACAATCGAAATGTTCTGTTTCTAAAGAAATTTACAAATTGTTTAGTTATTGAATAATAATATCTGTTCAGTCGAATTTCAACTTTATCAGTTTAGAAGCTTGAAAGCTTAGATATCAAAGTTTATAAAATTTTCAATAAAGAAGGTTAGTATTACAAAAGGTTACCATTCCTTGCAACATGATGATAAATGATGTCTTATTGCGGAAAATGATGAAATTTGAATTATTGAAAATTTGAAATGATTATTGAACTTTTTTCGGAATCTGATGTAACAACAATAAAAACAGGTCATATGTTTTGAATTTATCTATCGAGTAATTCAAATAATCATAAAAGAAACAGGTCATATGTTTTGAATTTTTTTGTTATTACTATATTTTAATTTTTGTTTGATAAAAAGAAAGTGAAATTTACCCTCATCAATAGCTTTTAAATCATGCAGAAAATTGTCACTGGAAAATATCATCATATCGGTAATGAAAATTACACCACCTTGTGTGATACCGTAGACAGAATAATTGGAACCTATCTAAGCGAAATTTAAATTTTACATGATTACAAAATAAAATTTTAGCTGCTTATTAATATGAGCTAGGAAAATATGTTGTTTAGGAAAGGTAAGGAAAGAAACTTTTACAATGGTAAACTTTTAATAGAATAATAAAATAAATATAAAACCTTGCTATGAAGTGGTATATAACAGTTAGTATCAAAGCATGCTGGTTCTAAACAATAAACCATCCAATTCATTATGACTGATAAAACAAACCAACAACAATAACCAAATGCTACCGCCATTAGTGTTCAAATTAATGTAAAATAAATTTAAAAAATTATATGACATTTTTGCAAGCTATATATTTTAAGTAAAAATTATTTTTTAGAGGAGGAATAAGATGGAAGTTTTTAAAACTTCAACTTAGCAAACTTTAACATTTTATCAAATGATAAAATTTATTCGTCAAATGAACAACGTACTATTGCGGTAAGTGATGAAATTGATTTATTGAAAATTTGAAATGATTAATGAATTTCTTTTCGGAATCTGATGTAACAGATAACAGTGGCTTCAAAAACAGGTCATATGCTTTTTTGTACAGAATGCTATTTTCCGGAATACACAATATTTTCGTGATGAGTAAACTTTTGTTTTCGGAATCTGATGTAACAGGTAACAGTGGTTTCAAAAACAAGTCCTATACTCTTTTGTACAGAATGCTATTTTCCGGAATACACAATATTTTCGTGATTGGTGAACTTTTGTTTTCGGAATCTGATATAACAGGTAACAGTGGTGACAAAAACAGGTGATATATTCTTTTGTACAGAATGTTATCTTCCGGAATACAGAATGCTATTTTCCGGAATATTTTCGTCATGTTTCAAACATTTTACATCGTCTCATTTATGATAATAAATTGTACAAATTTCGTTTTTCGTTGTGTAAGTACATTAAGAATTTGTTTTGTCAAAGGAAATTATATTATGATTTATATCAATAAAAAGAAAAGAAAGCAATTATTTTAAGCTTTTCAACGTTTATGAATAAATTATAAGCATTGTCTAAGAACTTTTATTCTCATATTTACTAAAGAGCTTATCACTATTTGATATGCACGATGATTATTTTATCATTCAGACATGTTAATTAACTGTTTAATTAAGAATTCGAACAAATTTGTGTTAATTTATGAAGAGACTATTCTTGCAAATGCTGATAAGTATAATTCTTTAAAATTTAATTCAAATCAATATTACGTATTCAAATATTGGAAGACTTAAGCTTTTTAACATTTATGAATAAATTATAAGCATTGTTTCAGGAACGTTTATTCTTGTGTTTACCAAAGAGCTTATCATTATTTGACATACTCGATGATTATTTTATCATTCGGACATGTTAATTAACTGTTTAATTAAGAATTCAAATAAATTTGTGTTAATTTATGAGGAGATTATTCTTGTAACGTATTTACTAAAGAGCTTATCATTATTTGATATGCTCAATGGTTATTTTGTCATTCGAACATGTTAATTAACTAATTAATTAAGAATTCAAACAAATTTGTGTTAATTCATGAGAGGCTATTCTTGCAAATGCTGATAAGTATAATCCTTTAGAATTTAATTCAAATCAGTGTTATGTATTTAAATATTTAACTATTGCGACACAAATATTTAATTAGCAACTCTTATGCATTCTCAATATTTCTATTAAAACTAATTAATATTCCAATAGCAATTACATTTCGAATCATTGGCATTCATCTGATCATTTCTTCATACACAAGCAAAACTTTTTATCACTTTAAATGAAACCTTTATCGTAAACGGCAAAATCACTTTGAAGCGCGAAAATTAATTATTAATTAACCATAATTAATCATTTGCAATCTCTATATTATCCGATGGAAGGGAATTTATCTTTTTATTTCTGAATAAATCAGCTTTTAAATCAACTTTATAGCTTTTTCATTCGTTATAAATCAACTTTATAGCTTTTTTTTACCAGTTGACAGCTATTTTTCTCATATTTAATTCTAACTTTTTTAGGCTAAAACTTTATTCTTCAGAATTGAATTTATTTATGATTAGCAGCAGTGCAAGGAATATCAAACTATATATTATACAAACTCATCTGTCTTTAAATCATTAAGATTTGATGATTTTTGAAGTTTGATTAAGCAATTTTATAGCCTTTCAAATAAGCCATTTCATTTCTCGTTTTAAATTTATTAAATACCAAAAATGACAAATAAGCCATTTCAATTCTCTTTTTTAATTTATTAAATGCTTTCTAGCATTTCACTTTTATTTTCATTCTGAAGCATTACTTCTTAATCCTTTTTATATTATTCATACAGTTTAATTTTCAAGAGTTACGAAATTGGAAAAAGGAAATGTGAAAATCCATTTATGGAATACAATCAACCTTTACCGGTCAATTTATAAATTTAAAATAAAAATTTTTATTTCTAGAATCACTATGATTTTTCGAGAGAGAAAAATATATCTGTAATATGAACGTTTTTCTTTGGAAGCAAATTTATTTTTAACTATGATAAGAGTTATTATCAACATAGATGACAGCTTTTCATACATTTGTTAAGCAATGATCTGTAGAATGAATTTCTGCAAAAACCATTGGCTGCCCATGAAGCACATCTGGAAATAAATAATTTGAATCGAAAAATATTTCATAGAAATTGGATTTAGTCGAATGTTTAAAAATAAAACTATTTCAATGCAATTTTGATGAATTGCAAAAATAATGAATAAATGAAAAGTTAAGCAAGATTGATTCTTTCTTCATATAATATATAATATCATATAATATTTCCATCATATAAAATTTCCTGAAAAATATTACCGTAATACTATGAGGATTTATGATACCTTGGATCTGCATCAACGCAATATTCAACAGTCGGTTTCGGTTTTATCATTGGTGATGATTCTGAATGACACATGCCACATGTTTCGTTACATGATAGTTGCAATATAGGCTTCAACCTTGGATCATCGCAACTATTTTTTAGTGATGAACAATATTCTGTCGTATCGAAACAAATATCTAAAAGAGAAATCTTAGAGCGAACAATGCAAAAAAATAAAACAAGTAATAAATTTTAATAAATTAAGATGAACTTATTGGTCGACAAACATTGCACGTTTGTGGACATAATCTTTTTGACTCATCGTTTTCACAATTTGATTTCAAAATACTGCAAATCACGGGATCACAATCAATACATTCTTGACCGCATAGACCACATGTTTTAGGACATTCTGCGCTGAATAACGAAAGAAGTATTCCATTTGTGGTTTTGCATAAACCACTTGTTTTGATTCGATCACAGTTTAAGCGCACTGAAAATGAATTCTATCCTAATGTATCATTTTAGGAAAATTGCAATCAAAGCTTACAAAAGTTAATCTTAAATGAAAGATTACTTTTTTATGATGATTTTTCCAAAATGATATGAGAAAATAAAATTATCACTTATCGTTATAAAATTAGATTTGTTAAGATGATTATTTTCATGAAACTGTAAACTCAAGAATTGCTACCTCCACGATCTTCACATTGAAAACGTGGTAGTTTACAGCATGTTTCACAACTTTTCGCACAATGTATGCCTTTTGCTGATAGCTTTAGTTTCTCATTATCCGCATAACATTCTGTATCCCTAAAATTACATTTGAAGGAAAATATTTCAGGTCTTGTAATTTAACGTTTTCAATCTATTTATGTGTAAAACTAAATGCTAACTTATTTTGAATTTCATCACAAAACGGTGAGCCATAATCATTCTCGCAATCACATTGATCCGCTTCAGAATTTGTTGTTTGCATCATTAAAAGACCGATAATTAAATGTAGCATTGAAGTCGTAGCCTTCGGCGTAAACATTATTTTCAATCAAAAAATCTCAAATATATAATGAATGAATTTCTATAACATATTTAGTGTACTTCAACGATTGCATCTTTGTAATTCATTTAATTCAAACAGAACTTGATTATTGTGGAAGGTGATAGCTAGGTAATAGCTAGATGATAACGGAAGGTGATAGCTAGGTAATAGCTAGATGATAACTAGTTACTCGATAAGTATATATTTGTTGTCTAGCGAATAACATTATGACAAGATAGATTTGTTATACATTTTAATGATCTGAAGCATTTAGTGGATGATACTAACGATCAATTGCAATCATAGAATGAAAACATTTAAGGCATGTTAATGAGAGAACACTGAATGACGAATAACAAAATCGAAATCCTTTCTATTCGAAAATTTCCTGCTTTTATCCTACTCCGCTTGATCCAATTATTTATTTCGATTCCACTATACAACTGATATGACAGTGTGAGTTGATGTATTGAATTAGTGAAGGATGATAAAAAACGTAACCGATCATAAATATAATACTATACTAAATATGATATTTTATAGGAATACGAACAATATTTTATCAAGCAGCTGTAAAAATAATGTGGCCAATTATAAAAATTATCAATTTTTTTAATACCCTTTTTAGTAGTAGATTTTTAATTGAAGGAAGGAAAACAGCATTCATCATCCATCTGTGGAAACATTCAACGATAAAATAGGTCTGAATCTAACATGCGGATGCTATAATTATACAATATGTTTACTATTGTCGAAAGGAACGAAAGAAAGAAAAGAATGGTAATAACAACTTCTGCTACTATCTAAACTGCAACAGATTTCTATTTCTTTAACATATATTACTCGTAGGAAAATAATTGTGATATATTTATTTCATCGATCTTCCATATCAGATCAATTATGTTATCGTTGATGGGATATTAAATAAGAGGTAACGTAAAATATTTAAATAACTAATGCAATCAATTGATTGAAATTATGATTACTAAATTTATAATGATTACTGAATTTTACAGGACGAAAATGGCACGGATTTATATCCTCTGCAATGGATCGATAAGTGAAACGAGGTATAGGCCTAAAAGGGGAGATTTGCATCTAGATTAAGAGGATCAAATATTTGGTGTAATAAATTAACTATTATGTTTAACATCTTATGCATATTGTATAATTGAGTATTGCATAGTGCTTGTATTATAGTGTTTTATTAATTATATCGCTTTATTATTTAATGCGTTGTAATTGTTTTGTTTAAATATGCAAATAAATAATCAATCTATTTTTGCATAAAATTATTATGTTTTAATAAAAATCAATTTCTCATAGAAGTTTGCATTTCCTTCTAAAATATCATTTCGTAAAATTGGAAACGAATAATATGAGATTCTTTTAGCGAAACGGAAAAAGTCTAAATTCCATTTTCGCAATTGGTATTAACCTCTTACTGACCATTAGTGGTCTATTAATTTGAAACTTGTCTAGAAGATTATACCATGAAATTATTTGGTACGAATTATGCCAATTATGTCAGTGATAATTTTGTTTAAATTATATGAGTTAAAATATATTTATTTCTTTCAAGTTTCCAAACTATAGTGATAGGACACTTCCTATTTTGAATTTCAGTTTCATCAGGTAAAAATAAGGGAATTATTTGGCCACCATTCTGCCAGACTGTATCGTTGCGAAAGCAAGCGATAATTGATTATCTAAAATCGATCAGCGATTTTCGGTGTGACTTAATATTAGCAGTGTTCACCTTGATGCCGAAGTGTAAAAATTCGGCAACATTTTTTCGCTTACGTCGAAGTGGAAATTGTCCAATATGAAATGAAATAAACAAAAATTGTGTACGTAAATATAGCTTAGTGAACAGAAAGAAATTTGCACACCTAATATAGTAGCGGTAACTATATTAGCTGTAATTTAAAAGAATTGCTATAAGCCGTAGAAGTAGACATAAAATAGGAAGGTAGGAGAATAATATCGCGGAAAGGTAAAGGTAAAAAAAAATTTCTGCTTCATCGATACTCTCAGAATCTCAAATGCTGCCACATCATTTACTTTCACAATCTTTGATATTGCTTTAACCATTATTTCTTTTTTCCATCATTTCTACAACTATAAGCCATTAGTTAATTCTAATATTCCATTTGGTTAATTCATCACTTTTAATAGCATCACTAGTATCTTCATCAACAGATCTTTCCAAACAGATCCAACAGATCTTTCTGTAGATGAATTATTTTTTTTCCGTTCCGCAACACCAACCGTTACAACAGCAACAGTAATTTTTGGGAGTGAATTTTTGAGAAGTTTTAATTGAATATTTGAAAAATTTTAATTGAAATGAAACTTAGTAAAAATTTCTTATATTTTCCATCAAAGAATATTTTACCTGTATATGATAAATGATGATGACAACAAGAATTGAAAATTAACTGAATGAAATAGCAATCCGGAATGAATATTGGACATTTACACGGAATACTTTTCATCTCATGAAATCTTGAAATGCAAAATTGATTTTATGATACCGATGATTAGGCGCATTTGTTAATATTATTATCGCATAACATTTTTTGTAGAAAAAATTTTCTACAACCTTTCAAATTTCAAACTTTCAAAACTTTCAAATTCATTTGAAGCTCATTTGAAACTCATTTAAAATTCATTTGTTAAATTTTCAAATTCATTTGAGCAAACTTTCAAATTCTTGACATTATAAAGTTTGAAAATAATTAAAGGAATTTAAGAGCACAAAATTATGGTATTCGATTGCACGTAACCTTTTCGATCATTCACTTAATGATATGAAAATTTTCAATTGATCTAATGCATATGATAATTAGTTCGCAAATGATGAAAGGCTAAGATGGTGTGAATTTAAAAAAAAACAAAGCTCATCGATCGACCATTTGTGTTTTTTTGGTGATAAATATGTACCGGTTGTCACCAAAAAAAGAAGAACATTTACAGAAGAAAACTTTTTCATGACAAGGATAGCTTTTCGAAATAACTTTAAAAATATCTTTTATCTTACTGCAATACAACAACAAGATAAAAGCTATTTTAAAAGTTGTTTCGAACTCTTACTATCCATCCATTTATAAATTAGCACCTATGATTTCATTTCTCACTTCTTGATGAAGAATTCTGCAATTCTTTAATCATTAAAATGACAGCTGCTAATGTTCCAAAAGTTCCAAAAGATGAAGTTGTACGTTGCTATCATAGCCACTTCCGCACTTAACTACCGCTTTTGCGTTCCGTCGGTCCGTCCGCTAACATAAGCTATTTTTTCTATATCAGTTTTTTACTTTGTGATAACGAAATAGAGAGAAAAAGAAGGAAAAGGAACAGGGATAAAAGAATAAGGCATCAAGATGGATAATTCATATCAGATTTCGGAAGTATTCAAATCAAAATGTTATATGGAAAAATGTCGCATTAGTTTCTGTTTGAGAATTTAATCGACTTCACTGAAGTACTACCATTATTATTAGGTATTATATTATACAATTCATATTTATAAAGCCTTCCTTGCATAGCTTTTTAGGTTGATATTCCTGAATTAATCCCTTATTAACAGATAATTTATTTGTCTTCTGATCAACTTTTCCATTTTAAACTTATCAGTAATGATATACTTCAGTTGTTGATGATTGAAGAAGGATACAGAGAGCAATAGATAATAATATTGCAGCAAATTAAATTCTTAGAAGTATGGCTAATTTAACTCGTTTATGAACAATGGAGGTAAAGTATTATTAAGCTAGCAAAGCATTAATCCACTTATCATGCAGCACATCTTTACAAATAATCCCACGTTATGGTGCGATATTGACATCTCTTTAATTAGCGCTTATCGAATGAATCGACCAGCTTCATCAGAAATTTTGATTCTGTTATATTTGTGATTTCTGCTTTATGGATATATAATAGTTTGAATGAATCGCTTAATCGGCTTCTTTTCTTTTTAAGATTTACATGTAGTAAATAACTGAAAAAAGTTTCGGTATTTCAAAATATTTTATTAAAATATTTATACTTTGATGTAGAATTAGGTCAAATAAGTAGGATGGAAAGGTACGAGTAACATGGATGAGGTCATCTAAGGCAATTTTCAGGCACTGATAAATCATGAGCAGAATTGACCAGATCATCGTACTTTTAATTGTCATCAACGAAATACAGGGATTTTTTTTCAGGTTTGGTCATTTACGTTGAAAATTAAGTGTGATTGAGTTTGTAAAATCTGCACATGTGTTTAAACTTTAATTATAATGTTACTTCCATCAGTTTTAGATGTTGTTGCTGCGGTTGTGGTGGTGGAGGCTGCGGTGGGGGTGGTTGCGGTGGAGGTGGCTGCGGTGGTGGAGGCTGCGGTGGAGGTGGTTGCGGTGGAGGTGGCTGCGGTGGTGGAGGTTGTGGTGGTGGAGGTTGCGGTGGTAGAGGCCGCGGTAATGGAGGTTGCGGTGGACGTGGCTGCATTGGTGGAGGTTGCGGTGGACGTGGCTGCATTGGCGGAGGTTGCGGTGGACGTGGTTGCATTGGTGGAGGTTGCGGTGGACGTGGCTGCATTGGCGGAGGTTGCGGTGGTAGAGGTCGCGGTGGTGGAGGTTGCGGCGGAGGTGGTTGCGGTCATGGAGGAGGATGTGGTGGTAGTAGTGGTGGGACCATACGATTGATGTAAATGAGATTGTGAAAATAGTATTCTATGAGTGATGAAATTATGAAAAAATGATGACGACTATTTTTTCTATTATTACCTAATTATGATGAATAATTTTATGCTTTATAAA